ACCACTGCCCTAAAACTTGTGAGTTAAAAAAAACATTAAAAAGATGAATCTCACACAGTTATAAATTTTTCAGACTGCAAACAATTCTCATTTAAAATGTAAAAATAAAGTATAGTTCTTGAGCTTAAAGGCATTTACAATTATCACCCAATGGAAATTAAGATACTCGTTACAGTCAGTCTCTGGTAGCTTTCTATCTTACCTATGATGTGATTTGCAGCAGCAAAAAATCAAGACTTAAAAGATTCTGAACACCTATTATCCTAGTTTTACATAGGTAAGCACTACCTTCATTTTTATTCATTCTCATGGTTAATAAATTTTCCTGGATGACAATCACACCATGTAATAGTGTCAAAGTGACATAACACAAAATACTCTGTTCCTGAGAAACAGAAATTCAACCACATTTCCCATCACCAAAATTACACATTTTATATGAGGGGGGGGAAATCCAAAAATTCTAAATCTGACACATTATTAAGCATATGTTTTGGCATATCATGATGCAAACAGTATCATAATGAAAGTCACTCAAATGACTATCTAGGCATATTTGTCAACTGTTTGAATTTCTCTTTTTAAAACAATCCCATCTTCATCAACTGTTGAGCAAAAAGCCCCAAATCTGGTAATTTAACAAAACTGAATTAAATTCTGTTATGTTAACCTCCTTTCATTTAGTGTAGAAAATAACAAAACCACTGAAACTGATTAGTATTAACTGATTAATATTATCTGATTATCACCATTAATCATCACTTAAGCAAAACAAATAAAAACCCTCTGCCTAACTACACAATCTTTTAGGGAAAAGAAAGGAAATCCAACATGTACAATGAGCACTGAAATGGCTAATATAAGATGTTTAGCCCTAGCTGGTTAAAAACAGCTCCTAAGCCAGAAAGCTGGAGTGTGACTGGGCAGCATAAATTAGTTTTATAGTTGCTCTTTTATACTTGCTCAGTGGTTAGAGCATCTACCCCACGGACTGAAGGGTCCGGGGTTCAATTCTGGCCAAGGGCATGTACCTTGGTTGCAGGCTCAATCCCCAGTCCCAGTTGGGGCACGTGTGGGAGGCAACCAATTGCTGTCTCTCTCACATCAATGTCTCTCTTTCTCTCCCCCCATTCTCTGCCCCCCCCCTTCTCCCTTCCACTCTCTCTGAAAAGCAATGGAAAAAATATCCTTGGATGAGGATTAAAAAAAAAGAAAGTTTAAAAAAACATTCACTCTAAAATCACTGAATGAAAAATGAAAAGTTAGTAATGAACTGGAGAGAATGAAATAGAACTGAAATTTGTTTAAACATAAGAAAAATAATGTATGTTCTTACCAAAAGAGGTAAAATTTTAGGCAAGACTAAACATACATTTTAGCTCTGGTGGGGTAGCTCAGTTGGCTGGGGTATCATCCCAATATGCCAAGGCTGCAGGTTAGATCCCTGGTTGGGGCACATATAAGAGGCAACCAATGAATGCATGGATAGGTAGAACAACAAATTGATGTTTCTCTCATTCTCTCTCTCTCCCTCCCTCCTTCTCCCTCTCTCCAAAATCAATAATTAAAAATGTAAAATAAATAAATACACATTTTAAATATAGTGAATGAAGCAGATCCTGTAGGGTTAACTGCCCTAGTAGAAGCCTCAGCAATTCACAGCTCAATTAGAATACTGTCTAATGATGTTACTATAACACCAGCTCACTCAGGAAAAAAACAGCTCCTAAGCCAGAAAGCTGGAGTGTGACTGGGCAGCATAAATTAGTTTTATACTTGCTCTTTAATTTTGGGGAGTAGGGTGGGAGAGGAATCTGAAAGGAAATGCATAATAAAGAATTCGCACACAAATGTATATATATCTCAACTAAAATGTAGTTTAAGAAACTGAAGTATAGGTTTTTACAAAGATTTGCTGCTTCCTAGTATAAAGAGAATTCCTTCAAGCAGCATAGCCATTTGGTCAATGAGCCATATCAAACTTACTCTGAAAAATTTCAAAATGACTTTCTCAGCACAAATTTTCATTTAACCGGAAATTGATTTAAAGTTTTTTCCTAAGCTCAAGATTTAAAATGAAGGCACTTAGCTGAACAGAGAAGTTTCTACTTGGGCATTCCCACTTCAAACATAAAACAAGATGCAATACCTCTTTAAAGCAACTTTCCCAAAAACCTGGAAAGCAAAGGAAAAGTCACTTCTATAAACAGATTTACAAAATGGCATATCAATTTTGTCTAGAAAGTTTTTAGTTTTAACTCCAACAAGTTAAACCTACATAATTCATCACCACTTTTAGACCGAAAGATATTCCAAATCGTAAATGCTTGGCGAGCCTGCATTACATTTGTTCTGTAATAAACCCAATTAAGAAAACAAAAAATCATGACATTACCAAAGAAACATTAATAAGAAATCATATTTTAAAATGTTAATTATACCAATCATTTACAACCTGAAATGTCATGTACTAACTTTCCAAAAGAGAAAATAATCCTTAGCAGAGAAGAAAAGTTACACATTAGAACTTCGTATGCTGTATTTCAACTGAAATATATTTAGTCTTAGTACAACATGGCAAAGGCAATTTATAAATCCACAATAAAAATCATTCAAATGTAATGTTCCAAATAATACTACTTTACAAAAGTATGTATTTCTGAAAGTATGTATTTTCTATTACGGCTAAATGGTTTCTTCAAGCAAAAAGTACTCAACCTACTTTTTTCCCCCAAAGCACTCTTGTTCTTAATCCTCACCGAGGATTTTTCCCACTGATTTTTAGAGAGAGTGGAGGCGGTGAGGGGCAGATACATCTATCTCACATGGATTGGCTGCCTCCCGCACATGCCCCAACCAGGGCCAGGGATGGAACCTGCAACCCAGGTTCCTCGACTGGGAATCGAACCCGAGACCCTTTGCTGCGCGGGCAGACGCTCTAACCACTGAGTACACTGGCCAGGGCTCAACCTACTTTTTAAACACCCGAATAATCAAACTGCTATGGAGACTAAAAGGATGCTCATTCTGTCAAAAGTCAAAGGCTGTTAAACAAAAATTAGCCAACACTACATGCCTTTAGAAAGTCAATTCAAAGTAATTAAAATGATCCCACATTATCTTATATTTATTAATGCTAAATAACCAGCAGTTTCACCTTAAACTACGGTGCAAAAACTAAAGGCATTAAGAAACTAAATTCAAAATAAATTAATAAGAAACAAATACGTTCACTTTAAAAATTCACTAGGATTCTCCGGGTGAAAATGGCCATCAATCTTCAAGAAGGTTTTTTAAAACATCTCTATACACTCAAAGAAACCTTTCAAGTTAACTAAACACACCCATTTCTTTGAAAATCTAGTTTGGGGTAAGGGATAGAGCCACCGCCCTACATCCATTTCACACCCAGTACATGCAGTCCTAGCAATAAGATAAACTATGCCTTTTTTTAAAATTGGGGGCTGGGCGGGGGTGCGATAGGGGGTCAGTTAGGTGCTAAGATTGTTTCCTACATGCCGCCATCACCCACAATACTCAGAAAGTAAACAAATCAAAGCCAGAATATAAACTAGAATGACACAACCAAGAAGAGAAAAAAGGGACAAAGAGAAAACAAAATTTGCTTAAGAAAAGAAATTGAGACAAACCATTTCTAACTCTGTTAGACACCTAAGACAATACACTTCAGCCGACTCGACCGCTCGGCCCGAGCAGACAGCGAAACTCCTCAAGAACAACAAAGAGGAGCGGCGGCCGCAGCAGGAGTCCCTCTCCGAGTTTAACTTGATTCTGCGACAAACTGTGAAGGGAGCTCGGGACCGGAGGACGGACCCCGGAGCTCGAGGCACCGCGGCCCTGCCCGGCCCG